GAGTTTATTTATCTCCAGATTTTTAATGGATTCATTCCCGGCTACGGATTCATTATTTGAATATTCTCCCATGAAATTCACTGATCTGGATTCTGATAAATCATCTTCCTTTTTGGTTTTAATAGATTTGGAAGTTTCTCCCTTTTCCCAAATTAAGGGGGATATCAATCTGGCTAATAATTCTTGATAGCTTATTTTTGACAGGTCTACTATGTTTGTTTTGATTTTCATATTTTCGGGGAAGCTCGGCATAATGGCCATTGGTCTTTTTTTTTTTATTATTGCTCTGGATTTAGAGATTTCTAGTGAGCTTAATAAAGATTCTATCATGTTGGTTTCTAGTGAGCTTAATAAAGATTCTATCGTTGAGTTTTTTATTGGGCTAGATATAAGCTCATCATTTCCTATCTTTATACTTCTAAAGGTGGATGTATTGATTCCACAATTTTCCCGGTTGTTGCTGTCTTCCAAGCTTTAGACAACTTTTTCTATAACACATAACTCTAATTCTTCAAAGGGAGGTTGTATAAACTGGTTTTGTTCGCAAATCAATCCCAAAAAGGGATATTTTCCTTAGCTTTCATCATGTCATCGTACCACACTTATCTGATACAATCCCTTTCTTCTTTAGTGAATTTTTTAAAGAACCATGTTTTCTTTAAGGGTTGCGAATTAAAATCTAACTTAATAAGGTCTTTATCCATTTGGAATTCATCTTCTATTTCCAAAATGTTAATTTCAAAGTCTGCTTCTGTAGGCTCTCTATATTTGTCCATGAGCTCTTGGTGAGGGAAGATATCATYGGAAGCTCCCCAAGAGGTCCACCAAACATATGCCCAATCAGGGTACAGGCCTTGAAAATCTTTGGAGAAACAAATGAACCATGAATGTCTAAAAATGGAATTCTGCAACAGAAAGACTCTGTACCAAGCGTCTTGATAATCCCGGTAATAATAATAATAATAATAATAATAATGATAAATATGACTTTAAATGCATATTCAGCATATATTCTTATCAAATGTGTTTCTTTGAGTATTTTGGTGAATCAGCTGATGTGGCAAGATTATAAAGCAGAATTAGAAAACATTTTTTTCTTGCTAAAAACCTCTTTAGGCTATAAATGGATGACATTTTGGAAAATCATAGGACGAGTCAAAAAGAAAAGGTTATTGTGTATTCTCATCCAGAGTACGAGTAGGGACACAATTGGCAAAATTTTCTATGAAGTACCAATCTAATGTAGATAATAAGGATGGTGTTCATTGTTCAGTAATATCCATGAGCTGGTTGCCTGATGCCACCAATCACCTAAAAAATCCAAGGTCAGTAGTGGGGTAAGGTCATTTATGGGTCCCGGATACAAGGTTTCTTATTAGCATATTCACTCATTATAAGTGGAGAACCAAAAAACTGACAAGTCTGTTAGAGAAACATAAATGCAACTCCGTACCATTGCTATTAAAATGTACAAATACCACATTAAACTCAATATATTAAGAGCAAATGCTATAAAGGGAGCCAAGTCACACAAACTGACAACTATGATAATAGTTTGCAAAGTTCCTTTCCAATTAGCGGTGTCAATGGACCGGTTTTGGATTGGACCCCGTCCAAACCAAAACCATTTGGACGGATTGGACGGACCAACAAGACATATTGAATTGGACCGGTCCAAACTAAATGGTCCATCTGTAATATTGGATTGGGTTGGATTGAGACAGTATCTGCTCCATTGATAGAAGATAAGAACATAGGTGTCAATGGACCAGGTTTGGGTTAAAACCAATCTAAATTAAAACAAATTTGAACAGATTGGATGGTCCAGACATTGAATTGGACTGGTCCAAAATATTGGATTGGATGGTCCAGACATTGGATTGGACCTGGTCCATTTGTAATGGACTCACATTGGACTGGATCGGATTGAACCAAATCCAGTCCAATTGACACCCCTACTTCCAGTAACCTTTTGCAAAAGGAGAGAAGATCCCCAATACCCATTTTCATTTATAAAACAGGTTCTTGCAATGACATTCTTGATTATCAAGTAAGGCATTCATGTACAAGAACAAATAAAATTCAGTTTAACAAAGTATAGAAGTCTTAAGCATCCAAGTGAGATGACAAGGGTTAGAGTTATGAAAGAAATTGCTTTAGGAGGACTTGTAACATAAATACAGATGTCATATTTCACAAGAAAAATAAAATATCAAAGGAATTGACAGAACGTTGAATTCTTAAAAGCAAAGAACCTGCCCTTACATTTAGTGCAAATAAAGTTTGTGCCCATTAAACTCCAATTTGACCCACACAAACATCCAGAAAAAGGAAAAAGAAATTCAGGATAAAGATGATCAACCCAAGAGGGGGTGAGAGAACCTCTTCAAAGTAGGATCCTGAGAAGGTAAGAGATATACTTGGGGACATGATGAGTGGATTCCATGAAAATAAAATAGAGGGGAGGTCTGCGCATCTTCCATGAGGCCTTAAATGTGTCCACACCAGATGACATGTGACTAATCCACAGGTAACCCAATCATTGTTTGAGAAAAGTAGAACCCAGGTCACCTTGCCAATCACGTTTTGTCACCATGAAAGGAAATTATACTGGAGTTTTTTTGAGAAAATATACTGGAGTTTGTATTCTAAAATTTACTTACTGACTTACTACAGTGTGTCAAAATGCATTTCATATTTCCCTGCATTCAAATCACATTTAATATTATAGTTTCAAGGAAACTTCCTTCCTAATAAAACTGATGTTTTCTGGGAAACACAACTCAAAAAAAGGAAAATTAAGACAGACTAGGAAAGCGTAACAATGCTTAGCACATGAATAGGAAAGATGTTTCTTGACGGTATGGAATTAGGTAATTAGCATTCTAACGTTTATCTTTCTGCTATTTCCCACCTATTTTTTGTTCTTTTCCTGTTCTGGATACTTCCACCATTTCAACCACTCATTTCTCTTTTCTGCTCACTATGATCTGTGTATCATGTATGTATATAAACTACCATATCTTGAGTTGGGGATATCATCACCTATTTACAAATTTAAAGCATTCAAGTATGAAACTTACATGGGAATGACTCCTAAAAACGAACAGCACAGTATATCAAATTGCTTGTCCATCAAATTCATCAAAAATTACAGAGGACATCTCATAATATATAATATACCAACTACTATGGTTTCACATCGTGAGTTACTCCAACAGGACTTTTTATGGATTATGCAAAATGGGAATTACACTCCTTTTTTATTACATATTACACATTACAGGATGATTAAGGGGTGGTGGGGACAGAGCAGGGGGCACATGAGGTCCACTGACCTTACCATGGAGAGCCTGCACTTATGTGGGTTTGATCCCATGCCTCCATATTCAGAGGGACACTGAGTGACCATCTCAGCTACTAGGTCATCAGCAACAGAAATTACACTTCAAGTAGACCAAAATGTGTATCTAGTACTCCCCCAACCACATTATTAGTAATACTTCAGAATTGTATGAAGCATGCAAGAAACTTACCTGGAACTGTTCACTGAAGGTGTGGCTAAATAAAGAAACAAAGCTGGGTATAGAATCTTCAAGTTGAAGTAAATGCACTCTTGTGAAGGCAAGCAACAACAAGAAATCTTGATCTCAAGCACCTTGGAGATGTGTGTATATTGTTTACTGGATGGCCACAGATTGCTGACAACCTTGTTGCTATCACCATATATGAACCTGGAAATGAAGGACATGCAAGAAAACATATATCACTGTTAAGCTTACCTACTGAACTTCACTAAAGATTGTTACAGTTCTATCCACTCAAGTGCTTAAGTTAAATAGTAAATATAGGCACTTATTTTCTCTGTATAGAAAAAAAATGTCAAAAAATTCTGCAAGTAATTCAAAGTAACAATTCCATTTGTGTTCTCTGAAGTTTTCACTTTTTGCTCGGCAGTATTTAACATCTTAATGCCAAATCGGGAAAGTTAAATGTGCTAACTCTTCACCAGATTAACCCCTTGAAGGAAATTTTTTTTGATAGATAATGAAAATGATAATTTTATTGATTAAAGAACTAAGTATACATCATACAATTCCCCACTAAGAGGTGCGAGATGCAGCCTCCTAACTACATCATAAAGCTTACTATTGAGCCCAAAAGAGCTGATTCCTATGTACTCCTTGTTTAGCCAGGAGGTCTGCCAGCCCATTTTCCAATCTTCTTTCCCATTGAACTGTGACTGGAATATTTGAAGTCAGCCACTTAAATCTTCTAAAGTTCCCCTGTACGGCCAGGCTGCCGTCTCTGGTTCTTTTAGCCATCCAACAACCAATTTGGAATTACCTTCAATCATAATGCTCCACTGCCAACCCTCTTGCATATTCTGCTCCTTGTAACACAGCTTGGAGTTCTGCATTTATTGAGTCTCCCCACCCTATAGGACCAGAAAATAGAGCTACAATCTGACCTTCATTTCTAAAGACTCCCCCTATTCCAGAAGGCCCCGGGTTGCCCAAACTACTGCCATCAAAATTTAGTTTAATGACACCTGCATCAAGAGACTTCCAATCCACCACCGGCTTGCTTCTGACTGTAGAACTTTTAGCCAGTTGTTCCCAATTTCTCCTTATGTCATCAAAAGTGTAGGAGGAGAACAGATCCAAGGATTTTACTCAACTTATGGCCCTACATAAGATGCTTTCAAACACACAAGTTTAATCCCTCTCCTTGTCATTAAAGATTCTAGCATTTCGTTCCTCCCACACAATCCACACCAAAGCAGCTCTCACACACCTCCACAAAACTCTTCCTCTTCTCTTTGGCCACCTGAAAGTTGTAGAATCAAAAAGATTGCAAATCTGCACCGCTTCTGTCCACCTGCACCCAAAAAGATCAAAAAGCTTTTCCGAAAGGCCTACAACAAAAGGGCAAGTGATTAGTAAATGGTAGCAACTTTCCTCGTTTGCTTTGCAAAGGGTGCACCAATTAGGAGAGATACAAAGACTGGGTCTTCTTTTTTGCAAAACATCCAAAGTGTTGATTTTCCCAAGGGAGACTTCCCAACAAAGGGCTCCAACTTTAGGAGGGACAGGTTTGGACCAAACTTCCTTGCTATGAAAAGGTTGAGGCAAAGGAGAGGAGCACAAGGAAGCAAAGAAGGAAGCACAAGAAAAGGAACCCGAAGGTAAAGGTTTCCAAATATAGGAATCTACAGAAGGAGGGTCCAAGCAAACGAAATCAATGGTTTTAAGGAGCAAAGCAACCTGGTCAAGCTCAGAATCTCTCAAGTCTCTTCTAAAGCCCAGATTCCAGTTTATGCCGGAAGAAGAGGAAGAGGATATGAACCTTTGAATTGGCTCATTTTTAAAACAGGAGATGGAATACAAGGAGGGAAAGAGGTCCTTGAGGGCACAGTCACCAATCCAAACATCCTCCCAAAACAAAACCCTATCTCTAGTACTAGCATCATACCTGACCAGGTTCAGGAAAACGGGAAGAATACTATGAATAGCCTTCCATGGGGATTTCAGCGTAGCACACCGAGATACACCAGCATCCCATCCGTTGTCTACCGCACCATGCACGCTCCTTACCACTTGATGCCAAAGCCTCTCCCTTTTTAGAGGCCACCTCCACAGCAATTTACCTAGTAATGCTGTATTTTTCTTCCTTAGATTGCCTAATCCCAAACCCCCCTACTCCTTCCTCCTACATACTATTCCCACCTAACCACATGATCCTTTCTCCCTTCCCCTGACTCCCACAAGAAATCCCTCATGACTTTCTCTACCTCCAAAATCACCTTTTGTGGCATTCTAAAGACAGAAAGAAGGTAAGTTGGCAAGTTCGCAAGAGTAGCTTTGATTAAAGTGATCCGACCCCCGAGGGAAATGTAGTTTCTCTTCCAAACTGCCAGCTTCTTTGTGCATTTTTCTATGATCGAATTCCAAAATCTTCCTTCTCTTGGATTATCTCCTAACCCCTTGAAGGAAAATTTTCAATGATTTAACAGGAAATTTATAATTCATAGAACACAGAAACTTACATGGAGTAATCATCTTTGTCAACAATTTAAAACTGTGAAGGAAGATGAATCAGTAGGGAAGAATGAGAAAGAGCTTATAATGATCCTAGGGTTTTCTTTTAGGTCATGCATGTGCTTTGTCTCCCTAGAAGTAGAAGACCAACTGCAGCACCTTCTGGGGAAAGTGATCTGATACAAGTTGGAGGGGCTAGAAGAGCTAGGGGCAGAGTGCAAAAGTCTTGGGTGGAAGTAATAAGAAATGATTCAAGCGCACATAATTTAACATTGGATATGGTATAGAACATAATGGAATGGCGAAACAGGACTCTGTAGCCAACCCCATATAGTTGGGACATGGCATAGATGATGATGTGCTTTGTCTCCAGTTTGGGCACCTGTTCTTTTGTTAAAAGAAAATTCTCTTATTTCTTGTACTCTCTCAATGTTTAAAAACTGGGCCAGCCAATAATCCAAAGTTATGGCTGGTTTAGCCCAACCGGTTTATGGTCTCAATTCTCGAACTATAGAAAGCCAGTATGGCACTCAAAAATCTAATTTTACTATAGAAGTACATATCCAGTAGGTTTTTATTTTGTTATTTTTCAGGGGAAAAAAGTTATACCAGTGAACCCAACTCCTCTTTCCTTATGAATAGGGGTGTTATTTTATTGTTACAAAGTTAGATGGGAACAATAGTACTGATCAAAATGAGTCAAAATAATATCCTTCTCTTCTAGAACTTCAAATTTCTAATTCAAATGGAAACCTTACAAACTGAACAGAAATTCAACGCATGCATCTGAAGAACAAAAAAAGAGTAGAACAAGGAAACTTTAATCCTAACTATGTGTCCTCTCAAAAGGTTTTTGCAACTTAAAGAGAAATTGGAGCTTCTTGCCAATGTGAAATTCAGAAATGTCTTCAATTGTGATAAGCAATATTGAATATTACCCAACCACCACTGAAATCAGTGGTATAGTTGCTAATTGACAAAAGAATGCAGCTGAGCATGTAGCTGGAGTTGGAGAGATATCAAGGTTGAAGAGGCTCATTAGTACCAAAGAAGTTGGAATCAACATATTTGAAAGAAAGTTCAAAATCTCAGGTTATTCCATGAGAAAGCTTCTTGGAAGAAGTTTGGATTCTTTGAAAGCCTTAAGATCAACACCATGCTGCTATACCTTGAAGGTGAGGCTTTCTTTCCAGTGTTTGCTTTACTTAAAAGCTGTTTCCCAACTTTCATTGGCTGTTCAGAGCCAATTATAGATGTTTTGAAGAAAAAGTGGGGAAAAATAGAAGAAAGAAATATACAACTTATCCAATGAAAATCACATTTTTGTTCAGTTCACATAAAATTTAAAAAAAAAAAAAAAAAAAACAGAATAAAGAAATTAAAGCTTAGAGGAGATTGGTTGTTTTCAAAACCCAACCCCTCTATTGGATCTCCTCTATTCTATACATGTAAAGAAATTAAAAAAAAAAAGGAGAGGGAAAAAAGGAAAAAAAACAAAAAGCTTGTTTTATTTAGGCTGATTTTTGAGAATGATTAGATCCTACAGAAAATAAATGCCCAGAATTTAACTATGGGTATGGTATTGAACAAAATGGAATCGCAAAACAGGATTCATGTAGCCAACCCAATATAGCTAGGACAAGGCTCCTACAAAACAAGGAAGAGATTGAGGAAGATGCCAGCCATAGAATATTAATTAGAGCAGAATAAGGAAAATGGAACGGTGCATCTGGAGTTGCATGTGATAGGAGAATACCACTTACGCTAAAAGGAAAATTTTATACAACGGTTGTAAGGCCAGCAATGTCACATGGAGAAGATTGTTGGGTAGTCAAGAAACAACATGCCCATGAAATAATTGTGGCAGAAATACTCATAAAAAAATTGTGGCAGAAATGTGAATGTTGAGATGGATATGTGAAAAACCAGAAAGGATAGGATTAGAAATGGGTATTTGAAGGAACTTAAGAGTGGCTCCAGTAGGTAATAAAATGAGGGAAAGTTGATTAAGATGATTTTGGTCACATGCGAAGAAGAGAAGCCATCTAAAGCACCAGTAAGAAGAAATAACCTGCTACAAGTTGAAGGGACTAGAAGAGTTAGGGGCCAGACCAAAAAGGACATGGGTTACTTATCAAAAAAAGAACATGGGTTGAACTATTTAAGTAGTGAGAAATGATTTAAGGGCTCTTAATTTAACAATGGATATGGCACTAAACAGAATTGGATGATATAACAGGACTCATGTGGCCAACCCAATATAGTTGAAACAAGACTTAGTTGATGATCGTTTTCCAAACCCAAGCCCTTTCTAAATCTCCTCTAGTTCATAATGTGCACATAAATTTTCAGGAAACAAATAGATGTTGTGGTAATAAGTTCCTCTTTTCTCCTTGTTCTCAAACCATTTCTTATTAGCCTGTGTTTTTTTTTTAATTTCTTGTTCTGGTTTCTTTTATCTAATGATTATTTTGATCGAACATTCAAGACATACTTATTTTTCACATTTCTTCATGGTGTACCTAGAAGGGTCATAGTCTAGGTTTAGTTTTCAACCCTTTTGTTTTACTCATTCATTATTTCCTTTACCTTTCAGTTGTAAGCTTGGGAGTTTGTTTTCTTTTGGTTTTCTTTAGAAGATTTTATAGGGGATAATTGATGATGAATTTTAGTGGGCAGTTATATGGATATATCGGAACCATCTGAATTAATGTATTGAAACCTAGCTTTTCTTATTCTAATTTTATGATGATTACCTGATTATCAACATGAATCTCAGTTGAAATTTTTGTGCAAACCATGATATAGGAAATATACTTTATTAGGATTTTGAACTAAACCTGAAAATTTACCTTTACATAATTTCAGGTGTCAATATTTATTACTTCAAAGGCTTGGATTAAATGTCATTGGCAAAATATAACTTAGTATTTATACATTTCCAATTATATTTTCACTTATATTTATATTTTCATGTGTGAATGACAGTCCTAGATGACATTTACATTTTCCTCCTCTTCAGACGTGTTTAAAGCAAAAGGTGAAGGGACCTGAATGACAATAAAGATTGTAAACTTCTATGTTTTTCTTTTCAATTTCTTTTTCACTTTGTTCTTCTCAACTTAAAAATTTCAGTTCCCACATAATTTTCTCTTCATTGACTCATAGAAACTACTGTAGATTAAGAAACTGCTCCATCAGTCTGCAACAGCATTGGGCGATAATGGAATTACCACTTCACCAGTTAATCAAGAGAAAACCCTGATCTTACGTCTGTATATTATTTGTCTTTAGTTTGTTCTTCGTGTCTGTGAGTTCTATGTAACTTGTGGTCTCCTTAATGGTTACTGTTACCAATTTTAGACCTGCTCTGTCCTGCCAAAACACATGAAGTCATGCTGCCTTTTCCTTTCTATGTTTTGTTATTTAGTTTCAAAAGACAGAGGTGTAGTTTTTTTCCCTCTTTTTTTTGTATGTCTATTTTAGGGGCAGTTTAATCACGTTCTCAGAAAATACAAAATTTCATATATCATGCCCATAGATGATCAATCTCTCCTGCTAATAGTAGAAATGAACAAATAACAATAAAGGGAGCTCGGATCTGCTATCCACGAGACATGACAACTGCGCATTGGGAATATCTCCCTGGTAATTCATGGGAGATGTTCTCATGGTGGTGGTGCTCTGTGGGTATGGATGTGGGTACAACTCGTGGGTAGCAGATCCCAGTAGAGGTCGAAGAACTTACCAAACAACAAAAAGGACAGAGCTGGAAGACAAGATCACCGTTGTACGAGCATGGAAGAAGAAATTTAGGGCTAGAAATATGGCAAACGAACACCAACCAACAAGGGAGTGGAAAAGCAAGAGGATGGAAAGAAATGTATAGATAGTCAAAACCCGAAACATACGGCAGAAGAAGAATGATAAGCAATCCCGTAGGCAGTCAATTGCCTGACCTTATCGAGGTCGGCATCGATCTCGTTTCGATAGGTAGAAACTCCAGCATTGGCTAATCGACTCTGGGAACAAAATTAACAGCAATAAAGAAGGAAAATTCGCAGAAAGAAAGAGACATCTACGAAAAGAAGGGGACTTCCTCATGGATCGAATCTGCAAAATACCTAGAAAAATAATTCACGACTGTTCATGTTCACGAAACGAATCGAGTCGGTAAAACCCTACTATTCCCTACAAGATGAGACTAACCGAGAAGAAGGAAACGAATGTGCAAAGAAGACTACCTGAATGACAGCCAGGGTTCCAAACAAAGCCAGAATCCATTGAAGCGAGATGGAGAACAGCTTCACTGTGGCCATCGTCCTCTCCGATCCTTCACTCTCTCAAACAAGTTTCATTAAGCGGGTGTTCATTCACTAACGTGATGAGAAATTGGTGTTACTGATCCACTCTAGGACCAAACCACATTTCAAAGCTCAACTGTGGTCGCGTCTTGGTGTTACTAATCCATAGTAGGGACCAAACCACATTTCAAAGCTTAACTACGGTCTAGCCTACACCCATATCGTTCTTTATGCATGGTGTGGAATCTACACCATACACAGCATTCATGTATTTCATATATATTTTATAAATAATGTATAGAGTCTATTATAAACGTCTAATTTTTGTATTTTATATGATTAATATTTTTAAAAAAACATCGATAAATTATTATTAATCAGTAAATATTATTTTTAATAAAAATGATAGTAAAATAATTAAAAATAAAAAAATAAATAATTACAAAATATTATTTTATTGATAAAAACATTAAAATTTAATATTTAAATAAATAGATAAAGAGTGGAGAAGGAGCATTGTCAGGATTGTGCTACAATTAACTTTAAAAATTGTTATTTTATTGATACAATATTAAAAAAAATAATTAAAATTTAAAAATTAAAAAGAAAGAAAAATATGTAGAAGAGAGGTATTGTATCAAAATAGAGTGTGGAAATGTTATGTACCGGCCACATCTATGAGATACACATGTGGTCGAGATTTTGGGCTGTGGACGGGGACGGTCCACAATATGGCATGGACCAGTCCTATCCACGACCAATCGAATGGCGAATTCACCTCGTGGCATGGACTGAAATGGTCCATCCATGAGATGAACACGCATTCAAACACCACCTAAGTAATTAACCAAAATGGCATTCCCACAAAATATATAGTGGAAGATCTTCAACTCTAACCAGACACAAAATCGGAATGCCTACTAGTTCACGAGTTAAACAATCTAACCACAAGGTCGCCTAATGACCCATAATGTCATATAAATAAGATACGATATAATTTAAAGTAAAYTGTAGATTAATATTTGTACTTTAGTGTAATGACACTTTAGTATCCAAACTTTAAAACATGCAATTAAGGCGGTGTTCGGATGCGTGTTCATCTTGTGGATGGACTGTTTCAGTCCATGCCATGGGGTTAATTCATCATCTGGTTGGTCGTGGACAGGACTAGTCCACAATATATCGTGGACTGTCCCCATCCATTGTCCAAAATATCGGCCACACATATATCTTGTGGATGTGGCCTGTCCACAACATTTTCACACTATTTTGATACAATACATCTCTTCTACATACTTTTCTTTCTTTTTAATTTTTAATTTTTAATTTTTAAATTTTATTTTTTTTAATATTTTATCAATAAAATAATATTCTTAATGTTAATTCTAGTACAATCCTATCGATGCTCCTTTTCCACTATTTTTTTTATTTAAATATTAATTCTTAAATTTTTATCAATAAAATGTTTTTTTTTAATATTTAAAAATAATTTTTATTTTTTTATTATTTTACTATTGTTTTTATTCAAATTAATATTTATTGGTTAATATTAATTTATTGATGCTTTTTTTCAATATATTTATCATATAAAATGCAAAWATTAGACATTTTATGATCGACTGTGTAGATTATTCATAAAATGTATATGAGATACATGGAATTAAAAAGTGTGGTCTGGACTGATCCACACCACGCCTACAGAACACCACTATGGGTGTATGAACTAGCCCAATCCACACAGTCTATCCACAGTTCAAAATAGTTGTGGGTTATGGTGTGGTGTGGATTAGTCTCTGCCACAAGGTGTAGTGTGGACAGTCCACACCCACCAATTTCTCGTCCACACCATAGAACACCCCCTGAAATAACAAAAAAGTGTCACCTTTAGGGAATTTGGATTTGCTACTCACCGAGTGCACCTTACTCCAACCTCACAGACACATCTCACCGTTCGTTGGGAACATCTCCCATGAATAATAATAGAAAAGTACGGGAGATGTTCCCGATACATGGTGGGATGTGCCTGTGAGGTCGGTGTGAGGTGTGCTTTGTGAGAAGCAAATCTGGACTCCACTTTAGGCACCACCCTCATCATTCATCAGTTATTTGTATCACATGATGGCATATGCATCTTAAAACTTTTGAAAATGTCATAACTACTCATTATTTTTTAGACCATTTCACATAATTACCACTCTTTAATTTCTTCCTCTAAAAACTTTTACAGAACCAAGGCAAGGACTTCTCTATTCGTTGTCTTTCCTTATCTTTTTTGTTTATCTTTTTATCATGTTATATCTTTATATTCTCATTTTAGGAATCTCAAGCCTTTTTTTTTTACTTAGTGTCTTTTTGGTTTGCAGTTGAAACTGAAATCAAAATCCATCAGACTTGTCTATTTCCTTAGTTTGTTTGGTTTAGACAAGAGTCGGAATGAGAATTGAAATTATCTAAAATGGAGTTTCATTTGCAAGGGAGGGGGAGGGAATGACCATTCCCTCAAATGGGGGAATTCCATTTCATCATGAATGGGAACGGAATGGGATTCCGATTCCAAACCCCTATTCCTGTGAACCAAACAGGCCCTTAAGGTTAGATTGGATGGATGAGAATTGCTTTATTCCAGGCCAGACCAACAATGATTTCCAAACCATGTTCACCACCACTGGCCATATTTACCATGTCGTCGTCATTTTCAATGAGATGAAGAGCATTAAACTCTTTTTGTTGTGACCAACAATTGAATAGAAAGTACTGAATTGGGTATGCTCCATAGAGAGCGCTCCTCACACCGACCTCACAGCTACATCCCACCGTGTAATGGGAACATCTCCTATGAACAATAATATACAAGTACGGGAGACGTTCCCAATGTGTGGTTGATACATGTTGTGAGGTCGGTGTGAGTAGGGGTGGCAATTGGGCGGGTTGGGTTTGGCTTGAGCTTCAACTCAACCCGTTAATAACACATTTAGATAAAATTAAATGGTTTGGGTTGCACCCAAACTTGCCTAACCCATTAAGAAAAATACCAAAAATAATATAGCATAAAATTCCAAAAAAATAACATAAACTTCATAAAAATATAGAAATTATAAAAAATAAAAATGTAGAAAATAACATAAATTACAAAAGAAGAATATACAAATTAAGAAAAATATAATTAAATTTGAAAAATATAACCAAAATTATAAAAAAACACAAAAATGAAGAAAACCAATAGGAATAGAAATTACAAAAGAGCAAAGAAAAACCAGAAATCACAAAAAAAGAGAAGTTGCAAAAACATAGAAAATGAAGAGAAATATAAAAACCACCAAAAACTAACAAACGTTATAGAAAAAAGCATAGAAATGCAGAAAAATAACAGAAAATATTACAAATATAAAAGTACAAAAAATTATAGAAAAATATATAATTCAAAAAAATCACATAAAATTAGAAAACTATAACAGAAATTATAGAAAGAACTTCTGTTACATTTAGATAGGGACAATGAAAGAAAAAGCATTTAATTTAAGATTACAAACAAGATTTGATAAAAGGGAAGGAGTGAATATACCCATTTGATGTTGTAGAATAAATGAAACAGGGGTAAAAACAACGGATTTGAAAAATAAATAAGAAAAGCTAATGAAATATGGATAAATAAACAATGGATTTGAAAAATAAATCAGAAAAGCTAACAAAATATGGATAAATAAACAATGGATTTGAAAAATAAATTAGAAAACCTATCAATCCATCAATAGGGGTAAAGAAAAGATGTTGAGCTTGCTCGTTTGCTCACATCTGAAAGTGCAATAATTACATTAAGAGATATATTGATATTGGTGAACTTTTCTTTCCTCTGAATTCTAAATGCAATGTTGTTCTGAATTCTGAAAATTATCAAACGTCCATTTTAACCCCATATTTGAGAACTTTTGTTTGCTTTTTGATGGTATCATTAGAAAACAAAAAGTTGTAAGATTCCACTTTAAGAGATAGGAGATAAGAGATAAGAGGCAACAAATACTCATTTTCCTCTTCAAATTACAAGATTCCTCTTAAAGATATAAGAGTTAAGAGGGAGTAAACATGCCTTGAGTTTTGGATTTATCAACACCATAGGAATGCCATCACATCATTTTGATTTTACCCAGGTGAACTTGAAGAAATAATTTGGTAGCTTTGTGAGTTCATGGCTACCTTGTAAAATTAATCCAAAAAGATTAATTTGTGGGTTGAAAAGTAGCGGCTTCTGCATGTCCTTGGGAAGCACATCGAACTCTATTTGGAGATCCTCCTTTAGCTTATGAGAAATTATAGTAGAGTTTGCATTGTGCTCTTCTAGATTGTTGCAACTTAATGAATCTAATAAATATGAAACAGATCACAACGAAGGCCTTGTTCTGGCACATCTTTTTGTGCAGACTATCGATTTTTTAGAAGCCCAACAACCTATGGTTTCATCTTTTACCGTTTGGTGGGAAAAGATCTAGTCGCCAAAAGATGTAGCCCCAAAAAGACATGGGAAGCCCATTTTGGGAAGCTCCAAATGGAGCTTTTTGCTTTTCTCGCCTCATCTTTGTGTAGAAAGACGCACCTCCACCAAGCAGTTTGTGGGCTACCAAGATTTTTATGCAAAAGCTCACGTCATCTTTTGGATGTCAGATATTCTAAAAGATCTTTCAAAAAAGCCTTGCCAAATGACACCGAAGGTAAATGAATTAGTTTTTTGTGGTCGTTGTAGTAGCTTTAGTTCGTGTATGGAGGGATCACCGCCACTGAGTTTGTGCTGATTAGGGTTTGGATAACTAGAGAGAGGTGAATGAAACAAAGAAAGATGAAAAATCAAAATACAACTTGCCCAAATCCACCAAGCATCACTTTAATTGGTTAACCTAGTATTTTAAAAACTGACCTAGAGGCTGAATCGTATTTGCCTTCTGGTCACAGGACATCGGTTTGACCGTTAGGATCAGATAGGTCAGATTGTGCCACATCAGTCATATGGAAATTCAAATATATATGCATATATATGTATGTATGCATATTCATGTATGTATATGTGCATAGGTATGTATAAACATGTCTTTTATTAATAAATAACATATAATTATATTTTACATGTAATATACGAAATATTTTATATTTAATTTGTGGCTTTTAATTCAGTTTTAATTTTATTATTTGTCAAAAATATTAAAAATTG